AATTACATGGCTACCACATTTTTCAATTTTCCTTCTTTTATACAAACTCGTCTAATTTGCGTTTGCTAATAAGCGAAGTGAGTTTACACTCTGAACAACTAATCTAACTCACATTTGTAAATAAGCGAAGTGAGTTTACACTCCGGACAACTTATCTAACTCACATTTATAAATACTGTCATGCTTAGAGATTTAGGGTGTATCCTACTTTCACTTTGTGTGAGATTGAAATTGAAATAACCATATTGTATTATGGATTAATATAGTGATGTGATTTTCCTACTCCCTCTTTCTCCACTTACACTCCCTTTTGCATTTTAACATTTTTAAACAATTTTGTTCTTTTTTTTTCTTTCTCTTTCCTATTCTACCCTTACCCTACAATGCCCTTTAATAAGAAGACATGTACAAATCACTTACTAATATTATGAAAGAATAAAAATCTGAGACTATTATGCATATTTTGTTTTTTGCATATCTGAGCTCCTAATGACAGTTTGGTTAGTAGAATTCTTTAGTTCTTCTACTTGTAAACCTTTTAGCCAAAAAAAATTATTTTCTATTAACTAAAATAAAGATAAATAGTACTCACATACTTGGTAAAAAAACAAAGAATTTGCCGTACAAATACTTACATTTTTATCAATTTCTGAAATTTATTTTTGTTTTTTGTTTTATTTTATGTTAACTTTTCTTAATTTCAGTTATCAAAACCTTAATGCAGGATAAGGGTATAATTGGAAAGAGAAAGAACAAAAAAGAACAATATTGATTAAAAAATATTAAAAAGCAAAAGGGAGTTTAAGTGGAGAAAAAATAAGTGGAAAAATCAGATCCCTTAATTTATGTTTTGGGGCGAATCATCTTACTAATAAATGATCATACTACCGTAAAAAGGAAATTAAGGAATATGGTAAATGAGATTAGAATTGGGCACAATTAATTGAATATACCCCATACATTAATTGGTCCCCGTCCACAACGCCGGTGGCAATAATACAAAAACCTAAAAAGAAGCAGAACGTACCCAATTATTTTCATCAAACCTGAGTTCTTGGTGAAAATATCTTCTGGCAATATTTACATTGCTTTCTGCAACCTCTTGAACTAGACCAGTACGTACCCAATTATTTTCATCAAATTCGATGACAAGAGTACCCCGCTTATCATCAAGTCAAATTATTACAAAGAAAATTAATTATGTTATCCCAGTAATAAGTTACAATATAACTACAAAATGACTCACGTAAATGCAATAACGATATATACCTATTTAAAATGAGTCTAATATCTAATTGTGATTAATCCATTATTATAAATAAATTAACTGATTCATTTTTGAAAATTATATAGATATATAGATTTTTTTTTTAAGTGTAAAATGAAATTAATAGTATATACAATATTTTCATTTGTTTCTTATCACAAATATAATATATTTTTGCAAAGAATTCACTAGTGTAGTGGTTTGGAGTAATTGCTCCACATGCAAGGTCCTTATTTCGAGTTCTAGTATCCGTGTAGTCTGTGTGAGTTTAATATATTATCATTCATTTCAATAGAAAATGTCTGTAATATATATATATATATTATTAAATTCGAATTCCTGATCAATTACAAAGTTAGAGTATCTCTAATAATAATAGCAAATCAAACTCTCGAAATTGAAGTTTGTTAATCTATGTGGCAACTTGAAATTTTTTATTTGCTACTTTAATAATTTGTGCCCTAACAAACTTTTCAATTCAATTAATGCAGTGTTTGTTATTTTAGCATTTTAAATGTAGGTTTGTTTTAAAACATATTAAGAAAGACCATGCATTTATTATATGAAAAGAAAAAATGCATGTTTTTAGCATTTTCAAAGTAGGTTGTGTTGATCGAGGGGTTTACCTCAGTGGTGAGGTCCCTACCCCTTCCCCCCCTTGGTAATCTTAATTTCAGTTATCAAAACCTTAATGCAGGATAAGGGTATAATTGGAAAGAGAAAGAACAAAAAAGAACAATATTGATTAAAAAATATTAAAAAGCAAAAGGGAGTTTAAGTGGAGAAAAAATAAGTGGAAAAATCAGATCCCTTAATTTATGTTTTGGGGCGAATCATCTTACTAATAAATGATCATACTACCGTAAAAAGGAAATTAAGGAATATGGTAAATGAGATTAGAATTGGGCACAATTAATTGAATATACCCCATACATTAATTGGTCCCCGTCCACAACGCCGGTGGCAATAATACAAAAACCTAAAAAGAAGCAGAACGTACCCAATTATTTTCATCAAACCTGAGTTCTTGGTGAAAATATCTTCTGGCAATATTTACATTGCTTTCTGCAACCTCTTGAACTAGACCAGTACGTACCCAATTATTTTCATCAAATTCGATGACAAGAGTACCCCGCTTATCATCAAGTCAAATTATTACAAAGAAAATTAATTATGTTATCCCAGTAATAAGTTACAATATAACTACAAAATGACTCACGTAAATGCAATAACGATATATACCTATTTAAAATGAGTCTAATATCTAATTGTGATTAATCCATTATTATAAATAAATTAACTGATTCATTTTTGAAAATTATATAGATATATAGATTTTTTTTTAAAGTGTAAAATGAAATTAATAGTATATACAATATTTTCATTTGTTTCTTATCACAAATATAATATATTTTTGCAAAGAATTCACTAGTGTAGTGGTTTGGAGTAATTGCTCCACATGCAAGGTCCTTATTTCGAGTTCTAGTATCCGTGTAGTCTGTGTGAGTTTAATATATTATCATTCATTTCAATAGAAAATGTCTGTAATATATATATATATATTATTAAATTCGAATTCCTGATCAATTACAAAGTTAGAGTATCTCTAATAATAATAGCAAATCAAACTCTCGAAATTGAAGTTTGTTAATCTATGTGGCAACTTGAAATTTTTTATTTGCTACTTTAATAATTTGTGCCCTAACAAACTTTTCAATTCAATTAATGCAGTGTTTGTTATTTTAGCATTTTAAATGTAGGTTTGTTTTAAAACATATTAAGAAAGACCATGCATTTATTATATGAAAAGAAAAAATGCATGTTTTTAGCATTTTCAAAGTAGGTTGTGTTGATCGAGGGGTTTACCTCAGTGGTGAGGTCCCTACCCCTTCCCCCCCTTGGTAACCCGTTCGAATTCCATGATAAGTGCCCCCCTCCCCAATGCAATGTATCTATTGCTAATTCTCAAAAAAAAAAGAAAAAAAGAAAAAAAAAAAGAAAGGAGTAGGTTGTGTTCATAAAAAAAAAAAAAAGAGTTCTATATATGAGAGAATGTGTGAGGAAAGACATCTTTCCTCTTTCCTCCCCCTTCCTTCCTTCTCATTTCCTATATTCTCTCTTCCTCGCTCTTTTTCTCTTGCCTTCCTTTTGGTTTTGTTGGTTGAACTTGTGGTGATTCTGACCCTTTTAGGGTTTGGTTGTGCTCTCTCCTCTAGTTTTCAGTTGCCTCAAGTCTCTTTAAATATCTATAACCTTCTCTTGTCCCTTTGTTTTGCGATTTATTTTTGTGTTGTTTGGGTTCTTTTTGTAGATATGTGGGTTTTGTGTTTTTTTGTTGTAGGTTTTTGCGTGGTTGCGGTTTTCGCCTCAACTTGGGCTTCAACAATGGTGTTCCTGTTTTTCGTGGTGGTGATGGCAGCAACTCTACTTTCTGTCATCTCGGTTAGTTTGCAATTTTTTGGGTTGTAATAATTACACCAACTCTTTGTGAGTTGGGCATTCTGTTTGTATTTGAGCCTCTACTTGTAATTTTTACTTGTGAGAGTATAAAAGTTGTAGTAGTACATTGGTAGTTTTTGGTGCCGTCCATGTTTGATTTGTTTAGGCTTTCGGCTTTCATACCGAAATTTGTTTGGCTTTATGCCCTTATTAATGGAGATATACCTTGTGGTGTATTTCTTTGTATCTAGAATAACCCTACGAGGTTACTATGCTTCCACATTTGTAGTAACCTTTTTTGGGTAGTTTATGCCCTTGTGCTTGATGGTTTTGATGCCTAAGTTATGAATACAATTATCGCTTATTCTAAATAAATAAAATAAAATAAATAAAACAAAAAATAAATGTTTTGAAGAGCCAAAGTTCACTTATCAATTTTAAAAGAGAGAAATTAATTGCAATTTTAGTGACTGAGTTTGAGAAATATGTTGCTAATTGATGGCTCACTTATTTTAGTATCCCAAAGCTAGTTGTTGAAGATGCTCTATGATATCAAACTCATTAAAATATATATTGTGGTTATTCATGTGAATCGAATATAATACATGATGCTTTGATTATAATAAATAAAAAAATGGTAATTAAGAATGGTGGTTTGTGCTTGAGTGATTGTTTAGTTGGTGATGAATATGAATCTCACAGGCAAATGCATCGACGACTACAAATCGTCCACGCACGTGTCGGTAAGAGCGGAAAGCCAACGAAGCTGTGAAGGTGTAAATATATAAAGGTTTGTTTATTTGGTCGGAGTGACTGTTATACCCTGTGGAAGGCAACAGTGATTGGTGGACGTGGGCGGTTGGCATGGCGAAAGAAGGAAAGGGAAAGCTTTGTCTCCCTAAATGCCGCAGTCTCCATCAGTCTCTTGATGACCCAATTTCCCAGAAGACATCCCAACGCTCCTCCCCAGAGTACCACATCATCACCATCTCACGGCAGGGAATAGGCCATCTTCTCAAACCCCAGTCGTATAAATCGACGGCTATAAATCCATCACAACTCACCCACACGTTACAACCAATCAAATCTCAACAACACTACACACACAAGAGTCTCTTTTAGTTGATCTTTTAGGTTAATTAGTGTCCGTTTTACCGGACGGATTAGACCAGATGTCCAGAACAGTGAATTCTTCCTTTTACACTAAAATTCGAATTTTCCGCCTCGTAAAAAATCCTTATATTAATGAACACTTTGATTTTTTTTTCTTTTTCTCGAAAAGGCTTGGTGGACTCTTTCTTTGTCTAATTGTCTTCCCAAAAGACCAACAAAACCTCCACACACACACAAACACAACAAACACGATGATAAGAAAGCAGCCGCATGCTCAAAACGAAAGCCATAAACATAAAAGCCTCTCTCTCTCTCTCTCTCTCTCTCTCTCTCGCTCAAACATCAAGTCATCACGACTTTCCTTATTTGGTTGTTCGGGGGGTGAAAGGTCGCCGTTTCGGCACTGTGGAGTTGCTCAGGAAACGTCAGTTCTCTCTCTGGCAACGTGTCACCGACAACTGTACGTCTTCTTCTGCATGATGCAGAGAGAGAGAGAGAGAGAGATGGAGAAGGAGATAAGATCATAATTAAGAGCAGTAGCAGTGAATGAAGAGAGAGAGAGACACACACACACAGAGATGGAAGAGAAGGGTACACAGCTTTTTGGTATTGGGTTTTGTGGAGGTTGTTTCTCTTTTTTATTTCTTTTCTTTCTTGGCCTGCAGAGCAAACCCTAAATCCTCATTGACGTCTTACCCATTGATTTCTCTTACACCAAAACAGCAGGAACCGTAGATTTTTGCGGCTTTTGGTAGGTTTCCTTATATGGGTTTCTGTCTGTGTTCTCAGATCTGACTCATATAATATCGATCATTCTCTTTCTTTCCGTTTACCTTTTTCTAGTTTTGCTTTCCTCCCAGTTTCCACTCCCTTCATTTCTTTGTTATTAATCAAACTTTGCGATTTGTGACTTCAATTTCTTGTGCCGTGGGTTGTGAATTTGGTTGGAACAGAGATGGAAATTGACAGAAGAGAGTGAGCACACAGAGGCACTTGGCATAAAGCGTATGCTATTGCTTTTGCGTGCTCATGTCTCTTTCTGTCAGCTTCCCAGTTCCACTGCCCGATTAATTTAATTTCTTATTTACTTCTCATCCATCTCTGGCCTGTGTTTCTTCCACTACTTGTATTTTCTCTCTCTCTCTCTCCAAATCTTAAATCTTAAAGCCTTTGTGGGGCTTCAAAGCAATGCTTAATTTGCTACTTTGAAATCGGTAAGTGATGATTATATTATATATAAAAATTGTTTGATAATATCGAAGCATCAACTAATACCTTGAAAGCGTGACTTTTGATGGTGTTTTTCACGAAGCTACACATATATTTGATATTTACTGTGCGAAATTAGCGGCAAAAACCTGGTAATCAAGCATAGAATTATAGCATGGGAATGGGAATTTTGAATGGGACCATTCACGTTATCTATCTAGCTTAATTAGTATGGTCCTCCTATTCTTCATCGTCTTTCTAATTCTCTATTTGATCTCCATTTTTAATTCCTGCGCATGCGATGTTCTTGACCCAAGAATTGCTTCTGCTTGGACTTAATTTGTTTTTTTCTTCTTCTTCACCTGAATCTAGTGCTTGTACTGTGCAACACCTACCAAGCTAGTTCGAATGGATATATACATATACATATACATATGTATATATGTTTTCTTTATGGGGTTTTATACAACCCTATTTAGCTGCTCGAATAGGGTTGCTTTTGCTTGTTTTTACTATTTGATTGCAAATGGTTTTTTCCAATCACTAGTCTTTCATCTGGATTTTTATCGAACCCGGTACTTAATTTCACACCCACTGCACATTTTGGGTGTATATATTTTCTCGAAATATTGTGATTTAATGTGATGATTTAAGGGAAAAGAATCTGCTTTTGTTATCTGTCACTTGTTTGTCAAGTTGATTTTGCAGGAAGGCTTAAGGATTCATTTTCGAACCGTCAACATTATCAAGTGTAAGTTTTCTTCTCTCAGAAGATAACTTGTCAAACAGGTTTGAATTTGTTTTTACAGTGAGCAAAGCTGATCTGGTAGCCCATTTGTTGCACCATTTTATGTATACGATCTATTGCATATACTTTTTAGTTATTTGGATTTTATTGATGTTTGTGTCTCTTAGACGCTGGTAACTATTTCTAACCCAAAGTCTCAAATCTGTGACTTGCTGCAATCATGAAATAATTTCAATCTATGCGTTCTTATCTTGCAGTGAAGTTTTTTTCGTATGTAGATAGATGATTAATTTCGAGATGAAAGAGGCTTTTGGAAAACCAATAATGACTGAGAAAGACTGGTGAGTTGTTTTGGGCATGGATCTTAATTACTTAATTAATTTCAGAATTATGTCATGTAATAATATTCCTTATTACATCTGGTTGGGCACTGGTTGTGCTTGTGGGTCTAAATTAAAGTTGCAATGGAGTGTAATCGTGAAATTGCTATATAAATGAACCCATTTTTAGTGGCTTGCCATTGGAAGGCCTAAATTCTTTCTTGTACTCGGTATCTCCATAATAATAATAATAATAATAATAATATAATTTGTATGATGGTGGTAGAATTTTTTTTTTTAAAGAAACCATGTTGCATATCTTTCATGTTAGCAATTTTCTTTGCCATTATAATTTTCATGTATCTAGACATTATGTGATGTGAGGTCATTGTTCTTTTCTCTGACGTTCTTCTAAGCTGTGATGCATTGCATCTGGTTTTAAAATTCTCTTTTATAGACAACAGACTTCAGTCTGGGCCATAGGAACAAAATATTTTTATTAGTAGTTGGGTGTGCAAGCTTGAAGAGGACTATTTTGTGTATAATTTTTGAAAGGAAGTTATAGAGTCACGTTTATACCAAACACAAGCACTCATTCACACTTTTTCAGTGCTATGAAGGCATGATTCAGTGAACTTTTTCTAGCAAATGGATACCAGATTTAACTAACTTGCCGTGCGCATGTGAGGCATATGATGGAGTTCGACCCCCTTAGTTTCTAGGCTTCTAACTATTAAGGCCACGATCAGCTCCCCCTTTAATTTTCCCTTGGAGGACATGTTTTGTGAATATGTCATTAAAGTTAACTTGTAGCTAAGCTAGTAAAATTCAAAATTTAGTAAGGGGGGAGAGCAGATAATCTTTTATCTTTTCCTCATGTGATTGAGATGCTTCCGAAGTACCAAAAAAAAAAAAGAGATTTTGGCTTCACTTCCTATTGGGTTTGTTGTGTTCCTTGTGTACTATTTGGCTCACCATCCCAATAACATGGTACTGGCATCAAGGTCCAATTTTGGGGGTTGAACCTTTGGTGGTACTATGCTCCTATTTACAACCACGATGTACTTTGTCTGCGATGACCACTGGACCATTTTGCTGCGTTTATGTGCCACCATTACACACATGATATGTACTTACTGAAGGCAGCAGCTCAAACCTTGGGGATTGATCTGAAGCAACCACACCGCGTAAACAAACAAGAAAGCCCCACCGACCTAGAAAAAGATTATAAGGACTACATGTCTCCATTTCTGATGATCTTTTGTTCTATTTGCTTGGTTGTTGCGTGCATGAGATATTGATTTGATGATTATCTATATCTTTTTAAAATCTCTTATTGTTAAAAAAAAAAAAACCAAAAGGTAGTTTGTGACTAGTGTTTTATAATATTATAGGGTTCTGAAACAATTCAATGAATCCGAATTGGTTGATTCGGAATCACTATTCTATGTGTGATATTTTGATTGATTGTTCCTGTGGTGAATTCATTGGTCTTTATCATATGCATTTTTAACAAAGTAAATTATTTTTATGACTTCTCTTACAGTACTTATCGTGCTAGAGTTACTAAACAAGTAATTTGAGGAGCTAGAAATGATTGCAAGAAATATTATAGCAAGCTCTAGATGGGAATTAATAAGGTAGAATCTACTGGGAAGAAATTAAAGAGGAAAGCAATCTAGCTTTCTTAAAATTTCAAACTCAAAATTAAACATAAGATCTAGCGAAGTCATCTTACTATTTGTTCTTGCTAAATTCTTGTTTTATTTCCCTATTCATGAGCTAATGATTGCCTAAAGAGGTTGGTCAATTCTCTTTGGTATAATATATGGATACAATGTAGGTAATGCTTAGAATGTCGTTTACTAACAATCGTTAAGATTTGAACCTCGCTAGCTAGTTTTTCTACTTCCACAACCAAAAGCTTTTAGGCAAACAACGTGAAGATCAGATAAATCAGTTGTAAGAGTATATATGTTTTGTCGAAGTTTGTTTGGTTTTTAGGTTAAGAATATATATATATATGTGGGAAAATAGGATGGAATACACATATAGCAATGGAAGGGAACTTTTGGAATCACTTAATTATGAGGTTTTGGCATTAGGAATAAATTGTTATACTCCTATTTCTTGTTTGTTAGTCAAGAACCTATACTTAAGTTTATTTTGTCTTTAATTTCTGTAGATTGGTGTTTTATTTTTCAGAGAATTATATTCAAGATCCTCTATTGGAAACTTCCTGCATTATACAATCCTGGGTAAGGCTTTTGTGTTAAGGAAGTGGAATTTTGAGCTGTGAGAGTAAATTAGAAATGAAATATATAAAAAATAATACATATACAGAGATATTTGTTTCTGCTGTCCTCATGTATATAATTCCCGGTCACTTATATCATTGTGATGCTTTTCCAAAGTGAAAGAAAAATGGGGAAAACCAAATTCCTTCATGTCCCCATGTTAAGATGTTTTCATATTAATTTGGTTTTGCTAATTGTTACAATTGATGGAAGGGTTTTAATCAGGAGCTGTTTAATTATATGATGATTTTGAACCATAATCGGAAATGTTGTGAAAATGTTGCAGGATATTATCGCCGTGCTGTCGATGATTGATCATCAATAATAATCACCTTGTGCTGTTGGGACGTCGTTAACCTTGGAGCTAGCTCTAGTCTCTAGCAGCGGATGAAGTCAAAACAATATCTTTATAAACAGTTCGTCTATAAATCATTAGCTGTAATGTAAAAGCACAGTTTGTTTTTATATCTATTTTGATTTTTATTTGTGAAGAAATTCGCTTTTGGAGGTGGTTTTTCTTTCTGTTTTAGAAGCAAGGAAACAGTAATGTGCAGAAAGTTGGCCTTCATTGAATATGTAGTGATTTCTTCTTCTCTTTTTGTTGCCACTACCTATTGAATATATATATATAAGAAGCGCCCTTAAAAAATGTTGTTCTGTTGGGTTTTTTTTCTTGTCTGAAAGTCAAGTAATTTCTTTGATTATTAAGGTTGTTTGTCTCCGACCACCTGGGTCCAAAGTAATATGAGCATGCATGCAGACTGTGCTGATCAATCTACTGATCGAGTTTATTTATGTAACTACTGCACAAAGTACAAAAATGACTGTGGATGGGTGTACCATGAGAGCATTAGGTGTACGCAAGCAGTGAGAGAATCTTGGTGGGGCTTGTTATAGGCAAGTAGAGATTGGTACCGGAATAAAAATTATTCCATTATTTTGAGTGTCACCGTCACATCGGCGAGTAGAGATTTGTATGTGTGACCAACCTACTGAGATTCTCAGTACTGGAACTCTATAGCCGGTAAGGGGCCTATAGTGATTTACTTTTGTACCCGATAAGGGGCTATAATTATTTACTTTGGTACCCGAAGTCCTAGGTTTGATTATCAAACCTATAGTGATTTACTTTTGTACCCGATAAGGGGCTATAATTATTTACTTTTGTACCCGAAATCCTAGGTTTGATTTTCCATCCTTTGATATGGCAGATCCACCTGAGAATTTGAATGTATATTTAGCCAAAAGTGTGCAGAACAGACGTAATATAATGTAGTCAGGATGGCCGAGTGGTCTAAGGCGCCAGACTCAAGTTCTGGTCCTCTAACGAGGGCGTGGGTTCAAATCCCACTTCTGACAATTTCTTTTCTCTATATTTTTTTTTCTTATGACCCCAAAAGACTCTTTGGATATGAGTTCCCGAGCCCAAAATGAAACTTGAAAATCAGGTGGGTTTTTTTTTTTAAATGTATTATTTCAAATCAAAAATAAACCAGTATCCGTTGTTGCCAACAAAAAGAAATCACCGCCACATCCAAACAAAAACAAAATTGAAAATTTCAGAATTGCTTGTTAAATTAGAGGTTGGGAGTAATTGGGAAATTATGAGTTGCTAGTAAATATTCTGACCTTTTTTTCATATAAAATATTTGATTCTCATTCCTTACTTAGAACCGTATGGGCAGCCATGGAAACTCTACCTGGCTATTTTTTTGGTTCTTTGGTTTTTTTTTTTGGGCCAAGGATTAACAGATCACTTCAAGGGTATGCATACAAGTGTAAAAGATCAATTCCGTATTACAAGAGCGCGGAAAGCGAGTTCTTCGTCATCATTTACTTGAGCATTGTCGTGTAAGAGATTGAACATGAAAATACACTTGATGCAATATCGATCCAAAAAAGATTGTTCACCATTAAGTTAAGCAGTAACTGTTACAATCTCTCTATGTCTCATGACTCACACGGTGCCTGACTGACCAGCACCGAGCAGCATTAGAAGAGCAGGTTGCGAGACTTGGCGTGATGCAGGGTTTTATGCGAAAGACAGTGGGTTAGATCAAGCCTGGAGTGAGTGTAATTTATACAGTTTTTGAGAGAACCCCGGCAGCAAATAGAAGGTTTCTTCGAGAAAACTGCACCCAGAACAAAATCCCAACATAAAGTGAATAATTCTCTTTATATTTATTAAAAATGATAAGTTATTATTATTGACAATTTGTGCATTTACCCGTAACGAGTAGACAGGGGTACACTTGGTTGGTAAAGTCTTCAATGATCTCAGTCTGCTGGTATTTCCACTTTTGCTGATAAAAAACATCATGTTAGTGAAATCTCTTTGTTCAAGGAAACTCCTAAAAAAGAAACTACCTTTCCCGCTTAAAAGAGCACTCACTTTTCTTCAGTTTTTGGCAACTTTGTACTTGCAGTTACGTCCCATAGTTTTACAGTGCAATCAGCAGACCCCGAAGCAAGAAGCGAACCTTCACCACTGAATATCAAGGATAATAGTTTAGACAGATTTCTAGACAATGAAAATTATGCTAAGAGAACAAAAAGATGATCCACCTAAAAGCAAGTGTCCACACGCATGAGGTGTGACCTGTCAGAGGTGTAACACAGCGGCCGCTTGAAAGGTCCCACATCATGATTGCGCCATCTTCATCACCAGAAGCCATGTACCGACCATCAGGTGACATTGCCAGAGACAAAACCATACTCCTGTGACCGATGAATATTCGGACACACTCTCCAGTCTGTACGTCCCACAATCGAACTGTTTTGTCACTAGAACCAGTGGCAATGTAGTTGCAGTTGGCATGCCATTGTACACACTAGAATAACAATTATCAACTCATTAGTATTGGTTGGAAGGATTACAGCACAAGTTCTGAAGGAAGCTATAAGTTTGAATAGATTACAGCAATAATCTCATTTTCATACACATTGCTATCTAGTGGGGGGGGGGAGAGAGAGAGTTACTGACATCAACATCAGATAAGTGCCCTGCCATTATTCTCAAAGGCTGTATTTTGTCCATAGACCAAATCCTTGCTGTTCGATCATGTGAAGCACTTGCAAAATAGTGGCCTACAGGACTAAACTGCACAAGAAGACAAGACATACCATTGGAGGAGAATCATAAGATTAAAAGAGGTACATTGAAGTGGAGATTTAGGCAAGAAAATGCATCCCATGTGACAGGAAATGAAGATCTAAAATTCGTTGCTAGAAAATGAGAATGGAATGTGGATATGTCAAGTTCACTCCAGAAAATATACCTGAACATCCCACACAGGGTAATTATGACCCTTGTAGCAAACAAGATTTGCATTTAGTTTTGTGCTCCACAACCGAACTGCAGCATAGCAATGTGTTTCTTACTGTCATTAATTAGTTTATCGGAACACAGAGAGAGAGAGAGAGAGAGAGAGCAGTTTAGGACAACCTACCAGTTGAGTCTGCTGAAGAGGAAAGTATAAAATCTCCAAGAGGATTGAAAGTAGCTGAATAAACTGGCCCTGAATGACCCTGAAACAAAGTATATGGTCTTTTTCCACCATTTGACCCAAGAACTTGTTCACTTGAAGTGGTTCCATTCTCACCCTGCAAAGCTGCAGCACAAGCATTGTTTAATATAATTGCATATTTGCATATGTCAAGAACATGAAAGAAAATCTTCACATAAAAACTGAACTTTATTGAGACTTACAATCAACACCTTGTTGCCCAATCTTTGCCATATCCCATACCTGTTGAAGAATGCTTCTCGTTAGCACATGCTTGAAAAACAATATGCACAACAGGGAAGTAAAAAGATAAGATGAAACCTTCAGTGATGAGTCTGAAAATCCACCAGCAACCAAGGATCCATCATGGGATATAGATGCACAGTTTAAACTAGAAAATTGTGGAACAAAAAGATAAGTAATGGACTGGAAAATGGAACTCATTGTTGATCGGAGAAGTCAAGGGCATTACCCATTGTGTGTGTTAATAAATGTATAAAAGCTGACGGATGGGAGAGCAGCACTACTCAATTGTACACGGTTTCTCAAGTCTTCAAGAATAGACTGTTCAACCTCTGTCGGACTGAAGCAATCAGCAAAATATTAGTTGGTAACCTGTATAGGATCTTAAGCATGAACCAATAGTTTCCTATACCTAGAACATGAACCCAAAATCAAATCATGCGAAAGGCTTCACTTAAGAAAAGATTATCTAAAAAGTATTAAGAATCTAATAATCCATAGCTGGCTTCTACTCTAAGGTATAATTCAGATAACCCCGTGCAATGAGAGTTATATTCGTCAGATAATATAATCAATCAAAACTTCACATGCCGGTGTAGTTGAAAACATCAACTTCCTTTCGTTCAACCTAAAATTTGATATATGTAGTAGCTTTGCATGGAACTGAAAGTACTTAAATAAAGTCAAGCTATCTATTTCGATTGATCTCAACTTGTACCGACTTCTATTTTAATTAGACCCATTTAAACTATTTGGCACCTTAGTATCGTGGAACTCAATGTACAATGTAGTTTCTACTGATAGCTACATCCAAATTCAAAAGAAAGGGAGGGAAAGGGATCCCAGAAACTACATTACTGGCAAAGTAAGCTCTGCTTTGACTCTTGGTGCTGTAGCGACAGGGGTTGCCTCAGGGCGTGCATTTTTGCCCGTTGCACCAGCAGCCTTGTCCTTTTTTAACTTTTTGATTGAAGAACCTTGTTTAGCTCCTTCAATTGATTTTTTCTGAACAAAAAACAGACAAGAGAAGTCAATGACAGTTCTCCATACCTTGGAAGTTATATATATTTTTATAAAACTTAAATTTGAAAAAAGAAAGAAAGAAAAGGAAACCACTTATATATCAGTCAACACTCAACAGTTACAAATTACAAGCATATTACTTCAAAATTTTATATTTTGAAGCTATGAAACTGTTAGAGGATGCACCTTATTCTCATCCCAGTCCCCTTCTTTGGTTTCCCCTTCTGCTTTTTCAGACTCTAAAAGCAAGCCCCCTGCCTTTTCCAAACGTTCTTCAAAAGAATCTTCGAGCAACTACAACAAATATATGATTGACACAAAAATTCAGGCAACTAAACATGATTCTGCATGTGTTCAAGAAACTACCTGTTATTTTTAATAAATAAAATTTAATGTTAAAATATAAACCAGCAGTTTTGGGTAACATTTTAGTCCAAAAACACAAGCAAAGGAAGTTTAGCTTTTGAAAGCAATCAGTTACTTCCAATATGCAACTAAATAAGTCCATAATTTAATTGTTTAAGCAATCTTTGTGCAGCTTTTGGATTATTCATATTCAGCAGAGGAATTCAAATAAGCACAATAAGCAATTTGACATACACAATATATAGTAACTCATCAGCACTACTGACTCACCCCCCAATGTATTTCCTTCTGGTTTATCTGATTAGCTGAATCCTGGCTGCTTCCAGTAAGTGTTACAGACTCAGCATCATCAGAAATTGAGCTGGGTTGTCCAGGAGAAACTGAAAAACCAATAAAATATACATATACAGATACGTTCTTATGTAAACATATCACCCTTGCAACCAGAAGTCAAACTGATTTACCTTGGAAGTTGATATGCTCATTGATAATCCCGAGCATTGTGGTGGATTGTGACTTGTGTAGAAACTGCAGCAGAAGCTCATAGGAGTACTGGAAAGATAATTTACCAAAGAATAAAGTTTTTCAGCTATATATAGTATTATATACACACCAGCCTACCAAAAAACAAAAAACAAAAGAATAACCAGAATATTACCTGGCAAATCTTTATGTTCACTTTGCTCTGCCTGAGAGAATGAGCAAATTCCATCTCCTGAATAACAACATAGTGATGAGAACTTTGTACTGATGAACTCATAAATCAGAAATGCAAAAGTTAGTGTTCTGGAAGTAAACACCTGCAAATGAGAAGGAGATAGAACTCCCTCCAACTTCTGTAGATCTCGTAGGTGCATCATTTCATGGTCTTCACGGAAGCTATTGAAAAATGTCCGAGCTGGTAATATAAAAAATAATGAAGTATAAAATTCAAGACACTAAGTAAGACATCAACCATAATCACGTAAAAACATAAGCGATAGTTGCCGTTTTACTATAAGAAACTTGGCACAAAGAAAGGCAAGAATTAAGAGACATACCTTCTTGAACATGACCTTTTGCAACCAGATCCATGAAACAATGAATAAATACCGGATAAAGAACACGAAGTAACTCATGCTGCATACACAAATAAGATAATTTAAGAACACCAAAAACATAAAATATTAAAGAACACAAGTGAACTCAAAAAAACAAGTTACCCTGTACAAATCTAGTGAACTATAAGTCCAAGACCTCAATTTGGCATATCCATCTTGATACTTTGCAGGACCATCCTCAAATCTGTAAAACAGAGAATATCAACTACAGAATTAAAAGCAACCTCTAATGAAGGAGACTAGGCTGAACAAACATAAACATAAGCAATGACAATGAGGCTTCAAAACTAATGGAATAACAATTCAACTTCCAAACTCTACTTTTCTTTTCTTTTTGTACAGTTTCCATTCAAATTCTAAAACTTTAGCTCCTAAATTCAAATTCCATATATCAGAAGCGTACATAAATACTGCAGCTAAACCCCGCAAGTGTTACAAATAACCTTAGGACCCAAAAAAAAAAAAAATCAAGAGAGAGAGTACTCGGAGAAGGAGAGGATGTGCTTTGCGACGTCGGGTTCAAATTGGGAATTGAAAGAGATTGGAGACGAAGAGTTGTTGGTGTTTTTGTTAAGTTCTTCCTGGAAAGCGTTCTCCGTTTGCTTGAACCCTTTCTTCTTCAGGTATGCGGCCACAAATTTCCGTACGCTCTCCTCGTCCATTGCCTCACCTCTCCCTCTCTCTCTCTCTAGACTACTTGCAGTCGAGCAAAATCTCTGTTCGAAAATGAAACGGAAACCCCTCGTACAGTAGTGACTCAGTCCCTGTCGTGCCCTTCAGTTCCCGGTCTTTGTAATGGTTAGCACCTCAAAGCCCACACACTTTGGGCCCAACAGTTTCTGGACAGTATGGAGTGATTTACTATTATTTGGGCCTAACAAATTCATAATTGATTTAATATTTAATTGGGATGGACCTTATGTTTGAGAGTGAGGATCATGGCCCAAATTTCAAATTACTAGTGAGGGTGTTATGGCCCTTAGGTGAGCTCCTATTTATTAACCGCTGGATCATCCTAACCAATTTGATCCAATAATTAAGAGATAGGGCATCACCCTTACGATAGAATTCTTGCGTAATTGTGTGGCCGGTTGTTTTGCCAATGGGGTATAGCCCAATGGAAAAAGGGCATTGACTTGCAGACCTGTTGTCTCATGTTCCAACCCCCATGACACCTTGTTAGTATGTGCGTGTGTGTAAGAAACCACTTCTTCTTGTAATTTAGATTATTATTTGTAATTTTTTTTTTAAATGTGGATGCAAATGGGCTGACCATTAACACAAATTTGGTGTATATATGTGGATAATTTCTTGTGTGCGTGCGAGGACCGAATCAATAATTGGACATTATATAGTTGAATTTTCTCAACTACATCATAATGTATATATCGCTGTACATTAATCTAAAGAAAAAAAAAATGTTTTCTTTATATATTTGTTCACAAGAACCAATTGTTGAGCACGCGCGCTAATCTGTTTTGAAAAATTATTAGATGATATTTCGGAAGCTGCAATGGGCATGCAATGGTTTTATTTCTTGTCAATCTTCTAATTTTGAAAAAATATACGCCAAAATATTAAATACAAAGCTTCAAAATACACCAAACAACTTCCATTTTGTTCCTAGCATTTGTTCTTTGGTTTCCGTTACAGATTAATCGAGTACAAAAGCAAAAAGAATAACAATTGATAATGGGCATAGCCATAAATATGTAAGTTAACATCAAAGTTGCATAATTTTCAAAGGATGCAGAGTCACCGGGACGAAATTTAGGCTCTTTGATGGGGCCGGTTTGTGTTGTTGGTCCATCCACTAATCCGTGATATTATTTTTTTATTTTTTTATTTATAATCGTACGTGACATAATTAATTACTTTAAGTATAATAATAGATATACTTATTTTATTAAGAAATTTTAATATAAGCATATGAGTACAAAAAATGAGTGATTAGGCAGACTTGCATAATGGGCAATGATAACCCTTTCTTTAGTTAGTGTACGAAAAATTAGTTACGTTTTTGCTAAGAAAGAGGTGTTTGGTTCAATATTCTTTCAAAAGGACATGTGATTAGGCATGGAGCCTGTCTGGTTTATGGGACCCCAAAGTCATTATATGTTTTCCGATGTACAGTTTTTTTTCTCCAACCGTCGGATAAAGATCGTGCGGTCTTCATCAAATACTATAAATTTGATGAAGCAGCTGAGCTAGACAAACATGGAGACATGACCCATGACCAACCTAATGCTTGCTTGGTCCCAGAACGATGAACTGATGGTTAAGTCAAGTGTTACGTTGTAAAGCTACTAGAAAATATTGTCTTTCCATTCAAGCTTGTCTAATTCATTTTCCTTTGAAAATAAAAATAAAAATTAAGCATAAACAAAGAAATGTTTCAACTACTATATATTGACAAGTTTTTTCTTCAAGAGTTGTTCTTTTCGGTTCTTGTTAGCTCTCTCACATCCCGTAAAATGAGATTCCGTTCACAAAATATGCATGTCCTAATTTATATTCAATCGTGTTTTCTCTTGCACCATTACTAACACAATATCCTAACTTATACGCACATCGATTGTTTGTCTATAGACTATAGTTTCTCAAAATGGAGGAGGGAACAAGGGTGGAACCACACTAAGGGCTACAGTGGATTGTAGCCCAGTGTGGTTTTTAAGAAAAATATATATAATCTATATATTTAATTTATTTTCAATATTAGCATAGTCAGTGGCGTTGTACAGATTACCTTATTTCCATTTTCAACATTTAAGATATTACTCCATTTACTTAAGTTTACAATGTAAATAAGGAAGTACCCCTCGTTTGGATTCAAATAAAAATACTAGAAAATCAAATTCCCACCAAATCAAAATATGAAAAATCGGTTTTAGTGCAAAATACAATTTAGGCTAAAAATGATGGCTCATTAAGTTAATATATACTTCATAGTAAAATCCCATAAAATCAAGTTTTCTTATTTGATGTGTGAGGAATAAAAGCCACCAAAAATTATCTTGAGAAAATAATTATTCTAAAAACCCATTTTTCATACTTAGTCAATATTTTTACATAAAACAATTTTTCATGTATGATATGAATGCATGAAGAAACCTAAGGTCAATCTAGGTAAAAAGCCTTAGATGTTCAATCCACTATGGTGTTAAACCCTATTTGGTTTATGTTAAAACTTATAGAAAATTAGTCTATGGAGCTATGAACTAGCATGGTTTATATGATTTAATGTTTACTTTTATTTATAGAAAGACTATAGAAATTGTAAGTACCAAAAAAATAATCATTAAATTTTAAGCTAATAACTTTAGCTAGCCCACTCGTTGAAAAATTTCTAGTTCCGCCATTGGGAGGGAATTGTTGAAAAATAAAAAGTTAAATAAAATTACTATAAATAAAGTAATATATAAAAACACACCTAACATAAGGGAGCGTCATTAGTGCATGTTGCTGGCTTTTGCTTAGGCATGAAATCCTGCGTTCTGTCTGTTCACCACTTGTGGGAAGAAGACTTTTCCCCAAACAAACTCTTTCTAAAACCGAATTTAACTTAAAATTTGTTATGTAAAAGTCAACTGTTCTGCTTCTGAACCTTATCATAATACTTTGACTATGTCGACCAACATTGATCGGTAATTAGAAAATACTAATTGATTTTTTAACTATGTCGACCTCTTTTAATTTTATAATTAGAAAAATCTTTGCAGAGACAAAGGCTGAAGTAATACCCAATAATTGAGAAATTAATTTGAGGTAGTCAAAAGCCAAAAGACTTCCATTTATTAGCTGGCATTATTTTTCTTAATGAATGGTATATTCTATTTATATGTGATTAGATTTTACCAAAATCAACATATGATTAGTGTTGTATCCAAATTAAGTCTCCTAAAGCTCTAGACCCTAAACTTTGGCATAATTATTCATTAAAAAGTATGAATACTTGATAAATTGTTGATTAATTGTCACCACACTCATGTCAGCATTTAAGTAAATGTCTTTGTCTTTTACTTTCATTTATTTTTATATTACTCCATTTACTTAAGTTTACAATGTAAATAAGGAAGTACCCCTCATTTGGATTTAAATAAAAATACTAAAAAATCAAATTCCCACCAAATCAAAATATGAAAAATCGGTTTTAGCGCAAAATACAATTTAGGCTAAAAATGATGGCTCATTAAGTCAATATATACTTCATACTAAAATCCCATAAAATCAAGTTTTCTTATTTGATGTGTAAGGAATAAAAGCCACAAAAAATTATCTTGAGAAAATGATTATTCCGAAAAACCATTTTTCATACTTAGTCAATATTGCACCTCCGCTAAAAAATTTCTGGGCCCGCCAGTGGTTCTTTTCATTGTTTTTTTTTGTGTCAAAGTTTGGAAGAGGAAGGGGGAGGTGTCATTATGGTTCGAATGTGAGACCATTAATATGCATGGAAATGGTCTTATCACTTAACTATGGTCCATTGGCATTGTTTTCATTATTTTTCTGTCGATCTCATTTTCAGCATCAATATTTGAGGAAAAAAAATTGAAATTTTTGTGACCCATTTATTTGAAGAGGGACTCACTATTATGCCCAATATAGGGGCCTAAATTATTTAAAAAGAATCTTACATGAAATGAACTTTAGAAACACACTTAAAGCTCATTTATAACATAACAAAGAGACTTCAAACTTCTTATAAATTACAAAATTGTAATCAATTTATTAAAACAAGCCCAACCTCAAAACATTTAACATGAAATCAAAGTAATTTAATAATCAAAATTAAATTCAACAGGGTCATCAGTCATTTTTTGAGTTTGTTTATATAAATTAAATGATATAGGGTTTATCTATATCACTAATGCTAAGAATGAGTATATAACTAAATATCTATTATTTGAATTTCTAATGGACGCAACGGGCCAATTCCCAATCCTCACTCAAAGCATAAAACCCTAGCCACTAAAGAAACAGAGCAACCAACAAGAAAGCAGAGTAACAATTCAAAGCCAAAACAAATCAGTAAATTACTCCTTAAAAAATATATAAAAGTTAAACTAATAAAGTCGAAAATCCTATTGTTTAGACGAATAAGACTCGTGCACTTGTTATTTGTAGAGTTGCACACCATAACTTGCTCGGGAGTCTTATTTAGTTAGAATTTTAGTTACTTACCACTTATTTAGTCATATTATAAATTAAATTTATTTCCTATTATAATTTAAATATATTTTCTATTTTATTTAGAGTTAATAAATCTTTGTATTTGTATAAATACATTCCTATTAAAGAAAAATAATAATATGAGCATCATTGAATATTTCACCTACTTTGTTTAAGAAACCTCCCATATAAAAATTGAACGATATAATTTCTTCTCCATCATTCTGTGTGCGACCCCAGTCTTACAGAGAACATACCAGGTGCTCCAATGGCTTCGAGCCAACGCCCCCTCCTCTCCCATTCACCTTTGTCTCACCCAATTAAAGAAACCTTCATCTAGCAAAAGCACTTCAACCCCTGAATGGAATCCATCAGATTCAGCTTCTCAGCCGTTTTATCTTGGATCCCATTACACTACAAGCCCAACTCTCCAAATTAACGAAAGCCCAACTTAAACCCCCTTTTCAATTTCAACAATTTTCCATAAATTTTGTCCCTTTGATTCTGCATCCATGGAAGAAAGGACTGTCTTGTTTGGGAAATACGAGATGGGGAGGCTTCTGGGCAAAGGGACCTTCGCGAAGGTCTACTATGGCAGACAAATCGCCTCCAACGAAAGCGTGGCGATCAAAGTGATCAGCAAAGACCAGGTGAAGAAAGAAGGCATGATGGAGCAGATCAAGCGAGAGATCGAAGTGATGCGTTTAGTTCGTCACCCAAACATCGTCGAGCTCAAGGAGGTCATGGCCACCAAGACCAAGATCTTCTTCGTCATGGAGTACGTCAAGGGCGGCGAGCTCTTCGCGAAGGTCGCCAAGGGGAAGCTGAAGGAAGATCAGGCCCGTAAATACTTCCAGCAGCTGATCAGCGCCGTCGATTTCTGCCACAGCCGAGGCGTCTCCCACCGCGATTTGAAGCCCGAGAATCTGCTGGTCGACGAGAACGAAGATCTGAAAATCTCCGACTTCGGCCTCTCCGCCCTACCGGAGCAGCTCCGGAACGACGGCATGTTGCACACCCAGTGTGGGACCCCTGCTTACGTGGCGCCGGAGGTCCTGAGGAAGAAAGGGTACGACGGATCCAAGGCTGACATCTGGTCCTGCGGCGTTGTGCTCTTCGTCTTGCTCGCTGGGTTTCTTCCCTTTCAGGACGAGAACCTCATGAAGATGTACAGGAAGGTTTTCAAAGCTGAATTCGAGTGTCCGCCATGGTTTTCGACCGAGGCGAAACGTCTGGTTTCGAAACTCCTGGTCTCCGACCCGGAGAAACGCATCACCATCCCTGCCATCATGCGCGTGCCTTGGTTTCGCAAGGGGTTCACGAGGCCCGTGGCGTTTTCGGTGCCCCAGGAACTTGTTTGTGAAAAGTCCGAAGAGGAAGAAGTGCAAAGCGATGTTCAAAGGGACAAGTCGTCGTCGCCCAAGTTCTTGAACGCGTTCGAGTTCATTTCGTCCATGTCTTCCGGGTTTGATTTGTCGAATTTGTTCGAGAGGAAGCGGAAGGCGGGGTCCATGTTCACGTCCAAGTGCTCAGCCACGGCGATCATGGCGAAGATTGAGCTGGTTGCCAAGGGGCTGAGCTTCAAAGTGGCCAAGGTGAAGGACTTCAAGATAAGGCTGCAAGGGCCCAATGAGGGAAGGAAAGGGCGACTTTCGGTGACGGCAGAGGTGTTCGAGGTGGCGCCGGAGGTGGCGGTGGTGGAGTTTTTGAAATCGGCCGGCGATACTTTGGAGTATGCTAAGTTCTGTGAGGAAGATGTTAGGCCAGCATTGAAAGACATTGTTTGGACATGGCAAGGTGACGGTGACGGTGACGGTAAAGCCGAGGGTGATCAACAAGACTCATGATGAAAGATTAATGCTAAAACTTAAAGTTAATAGTAACAATCTTGGAAATATTGACCCTAATTAGGGTTTTCGGTGTTCCACTTTTGTAGTTGATTTTTACTTTTGGTTTTGGTTTTTTTGGTTTGTTTTGGGTTTATTAGGATTAGTTTGTACATATTTTTGTGATTAGCATGCTAATTAGTATGTGAGTTTTGAATACAAGTTTGGATGGAGGTTTATACAATGAAAGCATGAGGCAGCTGTTTTTGTTTTGGCTGGTTTCTTTGACGCAGCAGCTGTTAGCTACTGCCTTGTAATTGGTTCACAAGAATTCGGTGGAATTATGTTGTTTGATTGAGAGATGATGCAGAGAGACAAACCAAACCAATCCAAACCGAACACGCTGCTTGATCGAAAATGATGGAAAAGTAATTGAAGCTTGCAAATATGCTAGAGATGTGACTCTAATCATCTTCCAAACGCCAAACACATGAAAACCTATATTTCCTTTCAATTTCATAACACAAAATATTTTTCACTTGTGTGTCATGTTTTCTTTTTCTTAATAGTCATCTCTCAATTGCAAGAAGCTCGTAGCTCAAAGTGGTTAAGAGCCGTTACCCAAAGTCGAATTTCTTCTATCTTAATATCTCTTGTAAAATCACACCTTGATTTTAAATATAGAATCATTGATATCGCTTTTCTAGACCATCCGCATACGCCAAAAGCCCTTTGGATTCTCCTTTTTAAGTAGGTGTTTATTTGGCTAATATGTGAGCAAAAATGCAGACCAAGTTAATAATCCTTAAGTTAAGACTGGTAGCTTTCACTTGTGAAGATTGAGCCAGAAGTATGGCCAGCAAACTAACAAGGCAAATTTTGGCACCAAATGAAAGACAAGTGAGCCCATTCATTGTCGTGTTATTTTATAAAAAGAATGGTTAACCGACGTTGACAACATTGTCGCACCTAATTACGAATAGCTAGGTTTTGGGGGGGCTGGTAGTTGGAAGGAAAAGGATATTATGCTTGTTCTCAAAGCGGTTGTGGTTTCTTTTCTTATTGTGTTTTTTTTTTCAATCCAACATCTTGGATTCTTGGGTGGTACAAATTGCGACGCGCGTCCAAAGACTGCTTTTCTCATTTGGAGGATGTAATTAAAATGTTTTCTGTGCATTCTTCACATCCACCACATTTAGAGAGAGACTAACTTGCAAGTAACAAATAGTACGAATTTAATGATATAGATATAAATTAACATAATTGTTTGTTTTTGTTTTTGGTTTTGAGGTCCACATTAATTGCAAGAGAAATGGGCAATGCAGTTGCCAGGCCTAACAAGTCAAGAGCTACCTTGAAATGAATAATATTGGAATTTTGTTAAGAATATTTCACGTATGAGTGATTTCTAACCGTTAATTAATCGTGTGTTGCACAACCAAAAGTCGCCTGCGCAAAGTGGCCAGCTCACCCTAGTGGTAGAATGATGATATACTGTACACTGATGCAGGAGTCAAACCATTGCCCTTATCCTTCGCTGAATCAAAGAAAATACCAAAAGTTGATAGCATGGGGGAACTTTGTCTGACAGAAAATGTCATAGCAATCTCTAAGATTTGCATAGATGTGGATTTACATGGATAGTTAAAAAGAGTATGCAACTTAATTCTAAATAGAGAGAGAGAGAGAGAGAGAGAGAGAGAGGAGATCAAAAGTTTCCAACCAAGCGCACACAAATCTTATGAAAAAGTCCCAGTAACCACCAATCGATATTATTATGAATCTTTATATATCTACAATTACTTGATCATTTCAAACCAAAGAAAAAACATCCTTAACAGATGGAGCCTATAAAACGATGTGCTTAATTAATAATAATAATGAAGGGAAAATGAGGTCCAGTCCAGGCCCCAGCTCCATTACAAAACAAAATCCTATCCGCATATCATTTTCAGGCAAATAGTCAGATTCTTAAATCAAAATGCAGCAAAATAACTTACTGGCCATCCTCAATCAAATCACATAATAACATATGAAAAAGTTATTCCACATGTTATTGTGTTATTCCCTGCCGAGAGTTTCTCAACATGACGTGGGGCAAGGGGTCAATTCTGTTTCCCGCGTTTTTGGTTTCTGGGTAGTTGATTGGAGGCCTAGGGGCTTGGAATTGATGCCAAGTGGCTCACCTCCAGAAGATGGATAAGATAAGGTTTTCACTTTTTGGGGGATGGTTTGTTTTTTTCTTTCTAATTCTTCCCCCTCTTCTCTTCTTGCCAAGTGGCCATGAAATTATTGGGGTTTTCATATACTTGGAACCAACTTTTGACAAGTGGCCACATCACCATCATCATCAGGCAGTCAAAAGTGGGCCTTTGTGGAGGAAAAACAAGCAAGGCCCAACTATTTCAATGCTCAAAATAGTTTACCCCCTCTTCTCTTCTTGCCAAGTGGCCCATGAAATTATTGGGGTCTTCATACACTTGGAACCAACTTTTGACAAGTGGCCACATCACCATCATCATCAGGCAGTCAAAAGTGGGACTTTGTGGAGGAAAAACAAGCAAGGCCCAACTATTTCAATGCTCAAAATAGTTTAAATAAGAGGCCCAGTTATGGACTCAGACTCCATGGCTGTGCAGCCCAATAAGCTCAACTATATCAGCCCAGATATGGATATGATTATGAAAGTTTTAAGTAAGGTTGATTTTGCACAACATAAACTTAGCTCAGTTAGCTACAGCGGATTTGCTCCCCACTCTTTCTATAGTTTAGATTAGTTTATCACTTGTATATATATATATAAAGTAAGGTTGATCTTAGCAATAATTATAACCATTTGGAGATATTTCATATATAAAAGACTTTCAATAAGAAACAAGAATAAAGTGAGTGAACAGTATTTATTTATTTATCATATAATCGATAGTTCAAATTACTTTAGATTAATCTAATCTATACGGAGGTGGACTCAAACTTGAGTGCAAGAGGACGCTTGCTCAGTATCTGGCCAATGGACACAATTCACTTTATTAAAGAAAATCCTGACAACACACCAATTAATGTCTGTAATGTGAATAACACAACACCGCCCCTTCTTTGTTTCCCATTTCTTTCCGTTTTTGTTTTTGTTTTTGTCTCCCACTTCTTTCCCATTTTCTATGGCTGTTGTGAAGTTCCCATTAGTTTTTGTTTTCTTGCCTTATTTGTCATCCAAAAAATGAGTCATATGCAATCGATCGAGGAACTCCAAAACCAAACACATGTGTGGGTGTGGGTGTGGGTGTGGCTTTGAAAAGTAAGAAAACGCAAAACACGTAGGTTACAATAAAACATGTGAAAAATAAAAATAAAAACCAAATTAACTAAATGACCTCTTAAGTAAGCATACGTCATGAGGCTTACGTGTAGGAGGTGATGTTATATGTATATAGATTCAGTGTCATTACAGAAGCAAACACGAATATACAATTGCGTGGGTAGGTGTGAGAAAGACAACTTGGCTTTTTCTCGATTTGCTGATATGATATGCAAGCAAAGGTGGCAACTTGACTTACCAAATTTCTAGTCTTGCTGCTTGCTTTTCCATGCTCTCTATCTACTTGATTTGTCTATGTATCTAATCTATGATTAACACGTAGTTAGTGCGTATTAACAATGGAGATGGTGTCATTAACTGGTCTTTTTAAATATCTGTTTTGAGTCATTACAAATAAAATTAACAAATTTTGTAAGGAGCGCGTATGCAATCCTTCTCTCACCAATTTGAATTTCGACTACTTAAAGTTGATTTACTTTTGGTTTAATTGGTGCACAATTTAAAACTTCTACCTAACAAGAAACTAAAGAATTGGTAGATATATAATCATTAAAAAAAAACACGTAAACAACTATGAATTGTTGATTGATATATGCTGTCACGCGTATGTATTAATCTAGTTGTTTTTACGCAATGCAAAGTTAATATTTCTTTAATAAATAGATATCAAGAGCATTTTGACCATAATATAGAAGATATCGCTTGTAAATCGCAATCCGAATCAAACCAGTTGGTGGAAAATTCGATCCCATGCATCCATTATCAATATCTCCTTTCCTTGAAAAGGTGTTCATTTTTTCCGGGAACTTGCAACCAAAGATAAAGTTGACGTCCAGTGGCAAAGAAAAGAAGAACACAAACATGACAAAACTGATGCCGCATGCAGCGCGCGCACGTATGCTATATAGCACACAGATTCCACACGCCTTTGAATTCAGATAAAACTTTACAAATTTATGAACAAGATACACGGTTGCTTGAGCCTAATTAGTTTTTGGAAAAGATTAAGAAACTGCAGTTAGCTTAGCTTAGCTAGAAGATTGTTGAGATGATGACGTTTTAGTATGACATAATTTGTTCTTATAAAAATTATATCCACCAACCTTTGTTTAATTAATTTGTATTACCAAAATTGATACCCATATTTCAAATTTGACCCGTAATTTATCTACATATATAATTGTTGGAATCTTTGTATACAAAGACCAAAACGCTTTCGCAATTGTGTAAGATATATATATATTTTTCTATTGATACTGACAAAAAAAAAATAATGTATGTTTTGGCCTGATTATTACATATGGTTCAATAATTCAAAGACTACAAGATAATTAAAAGAAAGACTGAATTGTACTTACCTTGGTCTCCGCAAGGTTTTCTTCCACGTTGTGATGTCATACAAAATCAATAATATATACCATGATTGCATTGCCACAAGGATATTATTCTTCTTATTTATATAACGTGTGAAATGAAAAGGACCACTAGTGTAGTGGTTTGAAGCAATTGATCCCTTAGGAAAGGTTTTGGATTCGAGTCATAGTATCCGTGTAGTGTGTGTGAGTTTAGTATATTATCGCCCCTCTCAATAGAAAATATCTTAAAAAAACATTTGATATATAAAAGTTAAATTGAAAAATATGACTAGAACAACTAACATTAGAAAAAGCAAAAATAGCTGAATTATGGGGTGTTTTTAGGGGTTTACTCCTTACGTGGAACGAAGTTATTCGAAGAATTAAAGTGGAGTGTGACTCTTTTACTCAAGGGCGGAACTAAAAATTTTTCAACGAGTGGGCTAGCTAAAGTTATTAGCTAAAAATTTAATGATTATTTTGTTGGTACTTACGATTTCTATAGTCTTTCTATAAATAAAAGTAAACATTAAATCATATAAACCATGCTAGTTCATAGCTCCATAGACTAATTTTCAATAAGTTTTAACATAAACCAAAT